CATCAGGCAGCATGTCACAGCCTTGTTGACCTGGATAAGGTGTTTACCACTGCTGATCTTGAGCCTTTGTTAAAATAGACCCAAAACGTTTCCTTTCAGCAAAACAAAGGAATTTGGAAAAAAAGAAAAAGAGTTTTGAATAAAAAAAAAAAAAAAAAAAAAAAAAAACCAGAAGTCTAGTTTGAAAGGTGTTCCACAAGGCTCAATGTCAGGCTATTTTACATTACAGTTTTCTTATGAAGAATGTGGAAAACGTCCACGGCTTCAATGCAGCCTTAAGACAAATAGACTTTAGCTTAAAACACGTTTTAAAGGACACCAATATTTTACTTTTTTAAAAAGCTGTTTAAGTGCATTTGGAACAAGGTTTACATTTGATGATGACATAAAACAAACCTGTGTTATCACTGTGTTTGCGTTTAGAAGGGTTGGACATCTGTATGGTTTCCACTTCATCTGCCTCCTTGGCCTCATCGTGACCAGCTTCATCCAAAGCTGGCAAACTCTAAAATGAAACACGAGGTTGGTGAGATTAAAGCAATAATCTAAACACTTGTGACAAAAAAAACAAAAAAAAAAAACAGAAACAACCCTTATTGGTTTGTAGTTCAACCACACCTCTGGCTTTAGGCGATCCCCCTGATTGACGTTCCCTAGTTTCTCTTTCCATTAATGTTTTATCTTTTTATTTTTTTGTTTTTGTAGCAGCAACTTGCCTTTTCTTCAGTTCTAATTCCATTCTAATTCCTCAAAGATATCATCAGCATAATTTTCCTCCTCTGAGCTCACTTGATCTAGGTTTGATAAAGCACTTTTCTCTACTGTCGTTTTATTTCTTTGATAAATCTTTCCTATTTTCTAAGAATTTTCGTCTTTCTTTATATCTGTTTTGCATGTGTTATTTTCTAAAAAAAAATAATAATAATCTCTGTGATCTCTTTAGCCTCCCACGAATTACCTGACAATAACAAATTTTCACTGTTTCCATTAGATTCTACTGGTGAGAAAACAGACAAACTAATGTTAAATTCTGCAGTCACCTTATCTTTCGTGTCACTCTCTTTCTTCAAACTGGATGCTGGTGGCTCTTCTTCACTGGTTTGTTTTGTACTTGTCTCATTGTCTTTCCCTAGTCTTCCCTTCCCTGGTGTACTTTCCTTCGAAGAAACTCCAACATCTGTTTTCGGAGATTTCTCTGTCTCTTTTTCCTTGGAATCTCTGGCTGGTGTGCGTCTTCTCGGGGTCTTATTGTCCCTTGTTTTGGCATTTTCTTCCACCTTCTTGGCTGCGTTTTCTTTTCTTCCTCTAGTAGATCTTGTTGTCACTGCTTTGTCCTCGGGTCTCTCATCTTCCACAGAGTCTAAAACTGTGAATATTTCCTCTACTTTCTCAGATGTTTTAGGTTCTTCTACCTGAGCTAAGATCTTTTCATCAGTTTTCTTTCCTCTAGCTGACCGTCTCCGACCTGTATTGGTTGCGGTCTCTTCAACAGCATCATCTTCAATAGAGTCCAAAACCTCATAGACCGGCTCCTCCAAATCTTTAACACTCATTTCCTCTTTTTTCGTCTTGCTTGTTTTCGTTGTAGGCTTCTTCGTTGCCTTGTCCAGTTGCTTAGTTGTTTTGTCTTTTTCCTCACTTTTAGATGTTCTGCTCCTTGAGCGACTCTCTCTTGTTCTGTAATCTCCAGATCTGGTTGTTCTTTCTTTCTCTGTTCCTTCTTTCTTCTCAGGTTCAGATTCTACAGTGGCTTTTGTTGGCGGATCTTCAGATGAGTCTATGGCTCGATAAACCTCTTCCTTGAATTTGTCCTCTGATTTAGCCAGTACGTCGGTGGGATCTACAAGCTTCTGGTCTTTTAAAGTGTCTTTGCTGTCACCGGTTTCAAGAGGCTGGTCTTCATTAGATATCTGACCATCCTCTTCGGAGGTTTCACACACTTTCTCTGATAAAAGGATTCCTTCCTTTGGCTTTAGGGTTGATGCATCACCACCACTATTTGGAGTTGGATTGGTGTCTTCACTTGTTTCTTTATCTCTATCAGATGTAACACTGACTGATGATTCTTCAGGACTGTGGATTTCTTTAGCCTCTTCCCTTTCAGACACCTGCATCACTGTGGGACCTTCATCTCCATCATCAGCTGTAGTTGCCTGCTCTACAGATGTAATGTCCTGCGGCTTGGTAGACACATCTATTTCCATTTTATCAGCCCCTTCCACAACTTCAAGACCACACTGATGAATGGTCTGGTCCTTCTCTGGTTCAGGTATTTGGGTTTTAGTCTTTTTTCCTTGGTCATCCTCGTTGTTTTCCAGCTCCATTTTTTCACTGACAGAACCGGGGGTTTGTTTACTATTATTGTTTCCTATAGTTGCCTGCTCTACAGGTGTACTGTCCTGCGGCTTGGTAGACACATCCATTTCCATTTCATGGCAATCATCTAATTTGTCAGTATCAGCCATTTCAACAGCAGTGCAGTCCTGCTCTGGTCGAGGTATTTGGGATTCTGGGTTTTTTTCTTGATCCTCCCCATTTTGCTGTTCGTCAGCCTCTTTATGAAGGAAACCTAGGACTTCTTTTTTCACATCTCTACCATTCTCCTCTGTGTTTTTGCTATTGGTGTCATTTTCATTTTCTTCTGCTTTCTTTTCAATCATCTCTTGTATGGTTTCATCTTTCAGATCTTTCTCCACATTCCCCTGTAAGATCTGTCCCTCTGCAGATATATCCATCTGTGATGATGCATCACTAGTAGACTTGGTAACTACAGTATTTGCAGCAACTTTCTCTAGTGACCCCTTGTGGTCTGGCTTTGTTACTGTACTTTCTGCAGGTTTTTTATGCTTCTGAGGCCCTTGCTGATTTTTTATTGATGTCTTCTGGGCTGTTGCTGATGAACAGTTATTCCCAACTGAGGATGAGGGTCCCAATGATCTGCTAGGAGGCTTCTTCTTGACTGTCTGAGCTTTCTGACCAGAGGAAGATGGCGTTTTTACAGACTTTACAAAAGGGGAGGAAGGAGAAGTTTTATCAACCGTTGCATTGGTTACACATTTCTTAAGTTTTGAGGAGCTTTTTGTGTTTGGGTTTACACCAGCAGACGTGGAACCAGATTGGTTGCCTTTTGCAGATTTGGATGAAGAATAGGAAGACAAGGTCTTTCTGACACCAGTATGCACAGCAGAACCCCTTGCCTCTTTCTCTTTGGATGTCGGCTTAGATGAAAAGGAACGATTTTCAGTTTTGTCAACCATGTCTTCATTAACCTCATCAACTGTCACAAAGTCTCCAGTGCTAAAGTCGAGCTCAATAAATCGTCCTGAGGAAAGCTTTCTCTCTTTATTTTCATCCTGTATGGGGATAAAATTCAACAGGATTAGATAAAAAAAAAAAAAAAAAACTGCCCATGTAAACTGCTATAATTAAAATAAAACATACTGGGAACACTTTGTGGAGGAAACAAAAGGGGAGAAAGAAAACTTAAATTTACTTTTAAAATATTTGTATTTCTGTTTAGTATCTTTAAGGGTGGTCCTGCTGTGGTTGGTGCTCTACAAAAGATCCATATTCAACTGTTAGAACCAGATTTTCACAATAAAAACTTATTATACACTCACCGGCCACTTTATTAGGTACACCTGTCCAACTGCTCGTTAACACATAATTTCTAAGCAGCCAATCACATGGCGGAAACTCAGTGCATTTAGGCATGTAGACATGGTCAAGACAATCTCCTGCAGTTCAAACCGAGCATCAGTATGGGGAAGAAAGGTGATTTGAGTGACTTTGAACGTGGCATGATTGTTGGTGCCAGAAGGGCTGGTCTGAGTATTTCAGAAACTGCTGATCTACTGGGATTTTCACGCACAACCATCTCTAGGGTTTACAGAGAATGGTCCGAAAAAGAAAAAACATCCAGTGAGCGGCAGTTCTGTGGGCGGAAATGCCTTGTTGATGCCAGAGGTCAGAGGAGAATGGCCAGACTGGTTCGAGCTGATAGAAGGGCAACAGTGACTCAAATAACCACCCGTTACAACCAAGGTGGGCAGAAGAGCATCTCTGAACGCACAGTACGTCAAACTTTGAGGCAGATGGGCTACATCAGCAGAAGACCACACCGGGTGCCACTCCTTTCAGCTAAGAACAGGAAACTGAGGCTACAATTTGCACAAGCTCATCGAAATTGGACAATAGAAGATTGGAAAAACGTTGCCTGGTCTGATGAGTCTGGATTTCTGCTGCGACATTCGGATGGTAGGGTCAGAATTTGGCGTCTACAACATGAAAGCATGGATCCATCCTGCCTTGTATCAACGGTTCAGGCTGGTGATGGTGGTGTCATGGTGTGGGGAATATTTTCTTGGCACTCTTTGGGCCCCTTGGTACCAATTGAGCATCTTTACAACGCCACAGCCTACCTGAGTATTGTTGCTGACCATGTCCATCCCTTTATGACCACAATGTACCCAACTTCTGATGGCTACTTTCAGCAGGATAATGCGCCATGTCATAAAGCTGGAATCATCTCAGACTGGTTTCTTGAACATGACAATGAGTTCACTGTACTCAAATGGCCTCCACAGTCACCAGATCTCAATCCAATAGAGCATCTTTGGGATGTGGTGGAACGGGAGATTCGCATCATGGATGTGCAGCCGACAAATCTGCGGCAACTGTGTGATGCCATCATGTCAATATGGACCAAACTCCCTGAGGAATGCTTCCAGCACCTTGTTGAATCTATGCCACCAAGAATTGAGGCAGTTCTGAAGGCAAAAGGGGGTCCAACCCGTTACTAGCATGGGGTACCTAATAAAGTGGCCGGTGAGTGTATTTATCCAAGTTTAACAGCTTCCAGTCAAGTCTGGTCATAATTCCTCTAACTGTGTTTGGAGGAAGAATAATTATGGGTTCCATCCCAAGAAAACCATTCCTACTACGAAGCATGGGGGTGTTTTTCTGCACACAGGACAGGGTGACTGCACTGTATTAGCGAGAGGATGACCAGGGCCATGTATTGAGAGATTTCTGGGAACAGCCTCTTTCCCTCAGTTAGAGCATTGAAGATGGGTCGAGGCTGGGTCTTCCAACATGACAATGACTCGAAGCACACAGCCAGGATAACCAAGGAGTGGTTCTGGAAGAAGCATATGAAGGTTATCACGTGGTCTAGCCAGTCTCCAGACCCAAACCCAGTAGATAATCTTTGGAGGGAGCTCAAACTCCATGTTTCTCAGTGACAGCCCAGAAACCTGACTGATCTAGAGAAGATCTGTGTGGAGGAGTGGGCCAAAATCCCTCCTGCAGTGTGTGCAAACCTGGTGAAAAACTAATGGAAATGTTTGATGTTTGTTTAACAAAGGCTACTGTACCAAATATCAGCATTGATTTTATCAGGTGTTCAAATACTTATTTGGAGCTGTATCATACAAATAAATTGTTAAAAATCATTTATTGTGATTTCTGGATTTTTTTAGATTATGTCTCTCACAGCGGATATGCACCTACTATGACAATCTCAGACCCCTGCATGATTTCTAAGTGGGAGAACTTGCAAAATAACAGTGTTAAAATACTTATTTTCCTCACTGTTGTTTCCACTTAGCCTACATTATATATTCCATGTCCCATCCACAGTTAGCTTGAAGTTTCAACTACAGAGTGACGTTTCTTCAATGTAAATCCTCCTAAAAAAAAACTGATAGTAGATAGACAATGTAAGTAGGCATGTATGAGATTTGTTTAACTGTAGCCATTTGGCAAGAATTACATTTCCAGATCTTTGACTCCATCTATGGGGCTCTTGCCTTTCTGACTTTTCTTTCTAAATCAGAGTAGCCTGATGTATATCTCCCTCATGAGGCTAGGTCTGGTGTGCTGCAGCTCAACAGAACCATTGCAGTCGTAAACAGATCCAGGTCCCAGCCCCGATCCACGGAAAAGAACTGCGGTGGTTGTGCATTTTTTGGGTTTAGGGATGACAGTGCGAGACATCTCGTTCAGTGTGAATGCACCTTAACACCAGCTTCGCTAAATCCACCAAAACATTGTTGGTGTTCTCAGGTCAGTTGAGGTTTTTAATCATAAAAAGCATAGAACCGTGAACTACATTGTTAGAATCAACCCGGGGAAGCTTACCATTGATGACTTCTCCTTTTTCATCAGCACAGAATCTGTAAAAGAGGTTAAAAAGTAGAAGACTAAATGCATCAAGAAATCTCACGCGGAAAATGATCTAAAGCATCTATAAACTATTTGTTGCTGCAGCAGTTTTAGCCTAGGAGATTTGAAGATGTGATTTGAGATGTGAAGCTTTGATACAAAATAAATAAGGGTGGTATAGACCATGCATGGAGCTTCCAGTGTTGCTCTGACAGCATCAGTATCAAAAGGTTGTCCTTTTATGTGCAGGAATTTATTTTCTGTTGTTTTTTTTTTATTTAGACTACTCCAAAAACAGATTTTGTTTTTTATTCAAACATATTTCCCAAACACAGCCTCTTATTCATGTTTCTATTTCATAGGCTAACGTGACGCAGCAGCAAAAAGGGAAGAAGGTGAAACTATTGAGCAAAATTGCTGATCAATGTGCAAAACACTAAAACAACTTGGTCTGAGTTTTAAAGCGTCAGCAGCTCATTTCTATGAGAATTAAATATCTTTAATTACTGTAAGAAATTCACAACATGAAATAAAATTAAAAAAAAAAACATTGCATTAAGATTTTAAATGGTGTAAAAAAAAAAAAGTATATGTATATTGGTTGTTTTGGTAGAAACTAACCTTGTAGTGTCTTAGTTTTCTTTGTCGGTTGTTTTTGCTTTTCCACAGCATCAGATTTGGACTCTGAATTGGACGCTGAACTTTGCTGGAGTTCTTTGATGGTGGTTTGGGCCTTGGCAGTTGATGTAGTCTTTGACTGCTGCAATGTCCTCACAGGTTTCGTGTTCTTTACTGTTTTTATCTTATTAGCTTCAGGTTTCTTTCCAGCGGTAGTGGCTTTTGGGACCAACGAAGCTGCCTGTTTCACTCCGATGGATTTAACGCCAGCGCTCTTCCCCGCTGAGGTGGATTTCTTGACAGTTTTAGGTAACTGTTTGGTGGAGATGCTTTTCGCTTTGGAAACCAAGACTTTCGCTTTTGTGACAAGTTTGCTTGTTGCTGTACTTTTTGATATGGTGTGAGAGGTTTGGGATTTGGAGGATGTGGATTTTAAAGACAATCTATAAAGAAGATAATCACAAAGAGTTAGTTCAAAAAGAAGAAGCTGAAAATGTTTTGCTGATTTTGATAACCGGCCTTTAAAGAAGTGAAAGTCATTATATACTTGAACTAACCATCAATCAGATCAAACTGGGTCCCCTGGCTTGTTTGCTTTTAAGTACCTCTATGCTTTTGTGTAACCAGAAAGCTTTAGAGCTGCTCATAGTAAAGGTTCAAATATAGGAACATCTCAAAGAAATAAAATATCTGCAAAACTTAAATATTTTTCACTACGGGTGTGGTGGTGGCACATGGGTTGGGCATGAAACGTGCGGAGGTCTTTGCCCTAGACGCAGCTGTTTGCAGATTTGTTTTCCAGCCTGTCGACTTTACTGAATTAGCTTTTAGCTAACCTTATAAATATAAGATTTGTTTAAAGACACGTTTTTAATAAACCCGCATATTATATGGATTAAACATTGAGATAATTATTTCAAGCCATTTCTCGTAGTTTTGATGATTCTCGTTTCCCAAAAACAAAATTCAGAACGTCAGCAAATCAGAATGTTATTTAACATTTAAAAAAGTCAGACTTATGTAAAGTGGGTTATAACCAATGCCCTCAATGTTTAATTGGGACACCCTTTTTGAGAAATTAAATGCATCAGTAGTGTGTGTACTTTAGGTCATCTGCATTAGTGAAGATGGTATTTCTCATCTTCCTACTGGCAATACTCAATAGATTCACTACGGAGTTGATGTCAGGTCAGTTTGTGTTGGTTGTTCAATCTGTCACTGAAAACAATCACTAAAGGCATATTTCAAACTTTTTAAAGATTTTCAGCAGTTTTTATCTATATTTATGAACATATTTATCAACTTATTTTTAACTAAGACATGAAATCCATACATTTTAAGTAGAACAAGTATTATAGAAAAAGATATTAAATCAAGATCTATATATATTTATATATTTTTTTTTTACTTGTGGTTTTAACACTGGGTTATACTTTTCAGTCCAGCATGTAGTAGCAATCTGCCCATTTAATCAGCTTTTGGTACTTTTAGCAGTAG